ATAATGACACTGGCTCGTCCGCAGGGATGGTGTCACGAGCACAAGGAATTGGGATTGGAACTGTTCATCTTTACACTAAACGTGTTATTCATGCTTTCGTGTCATTATCCCATTTCGAGATCAATTGGCCTAATCATTGTGAGCGTGGTCAACTTGCCAGTTATAATGCAGAACGATATGGATTTCGTAACTGTATTTTATCAACTGATGGCACACATATTGTTTGGTACCGAAAACCAGCTTTGAATGGCGAGGTATATTACAGTCGAAAGAAGGAATACTCCATGAATGTTCTATTAACGTTTGATTACAAACGCCAAATTCGACACGTCATCGCTGGCTGGCCGGGCAGCGTTCACGACTCAACTATGTGGGCATCATCATCGCCGGCCCTGCGTCCGGACGGGTTTTTTTACGCCAACCAATACCAAGCGGGCGATTCAGGATTTGCCCTCGTCATGCGCATGCTGACGCCGTATCCGTTGCCTACTCAAGCGCCAGCGGCAACGACGCTTTCAACACCGGTCATGCGAGTATGCGGGTGGTCTGCGTACACGGCAACGGGATCTTGAAAGGGCGCTGGTCATGCTTGTCGCAACTTCCTATTTGTATCAGGTATTATATATATTTGTCATGTATTTTTCAGTCTATATTATTAAATATTTTTATATTTTGCTCTGATAGGCAGCGAAGTGATGTGAAAGACGTTTGCGATTGGATCTTGGCCTGCTGTATCCTCCACAACGTTGTAAACCGACTTCGCAACGGTGAAGACACAGTGCCACCGTTTGTTGAAAAGCCTCGACCAGTGGTAGTAAGCAATACTCCAATTGCTGCAAGTTCCCTCATGTGGCGCGAAACCATCAAGTCCGAATTACTCAACTACTTAGGTTTGGAGAATAATATTATCAGCACGAATATTGTTCATTGAAAATTCTTTATTCTTGCGCAAACGCAATCGACAATAATTCGCGGATTTTTTCTGCGTCCACTACACCTGACGCTACTATTTTTTCGATGAAGGACGCCTTGGCACGTTGCAAATTTATGATGGCGGCTGCAGCTTGAATGCTCTTGTTGTTTTCTTTCATGATTCGAACTTCTCACGTTCAGCTGAGTCGTTTCATTCTGCGCAGCCATATACATGTACGAGAAGTCCTTTCGAGGGGGCAGGCGCTTCTCCGGCATTGGGAACTTGCGTGGGACGACTTTGGATTTTCCCTTGCCCTTGCCTGTGTGACGTGTTGCAACTTCGTTGTCAAGTAGGGCGTCGGCTTGCCGCCCAGGATCGGCAGCATCGTTCTCTGCCCAGTACTCGTCAACGTCGGGGTCGTCGTTGGGATTGCCCGATGTTGTTGAGTCACGTTGGTCCTTGGAGTAGTCGTGGTCATCGAGGTCGTCGTCGCTGCCAATGGCATCAGAAAGAAACGACTCGTCGCATTGTTTGCTCATATCATTTGCATCTAAATTGTTCCATCGAAATAGCTATATATACAGACATATATATATTTGAGATGTATATATTTACCGCGAAGACTAGTCTCAAAAATGTAAGATGGACGAAAATTTTGTCGCCCCCAAAACAGAGCGTCCATGTCGTTGTAGTACGGGCAAATGCTCTCCAAATTACTTTCAATTGTAAAGATTTCTACCGAAGAGTGAGATATTTGATAATTGATCGTTGATAACATGTAACGTTTCCAAGTCAGTCAGGCCACGACCGCTGTTGCTTGGCCCAGACCATTTGAGAGCTCGTCGGTACGATGCAACATATGCGTCATATCTACTTGTCGATTGATAGTTTTAATGATTGTGAATATATACGGATTCTATACCTCGATTTTGCGTGCTGAGCTGACCATGGCCGCGCACTGTCCCGAGCAACCTCATTGACGTACTCCGCTAGTCTTTGAAGGCCGTATGCTCGTGTCAGTTTCTGCCCCCCTTTTTTTGTCTTGCCCTTGGTGGCTTGTCCTGTCAATAGAGCAAAGTTCTCTTGTATACGGAGAAATGCGAGCATTGCCAAACGCTCCGACTTTGTCGTTGCTTCTCGCTTCGCCTTCTCCATGCTCGCTTCTGAAAACTGACTTGCTCCAGTAATTTCCACTGTCCTGATTGGTTGTTTCTATTAATCATTTGATTGGCTTGTTCACAGGTTCAAGTTGCTTTTGCTTTTCGCCACGAAAAGTACCTGGCGAGGTACTTTTGCTTTTCGCGTTGAAAAGCAAAATTTGAAAAGCTGATTTTTTTTGAAAAGCAAGATGACTTCTACATTGACTCTCCCTAGTGAAAATGATCATTATTCCTGACATGTTTTGTCCCGTAACTTCAAGGGTATACTAATTCGGACCCACTAAATAGTGGAATCAGGTTCCAAATGAAATTCTCTCTTAATAGTACACCTAAAGCCCAGGCAATAACCTCTTGTGGTCGAGGTACATTACACGTTCAAAGCATGAAAAAGCCAAATCAATCAATCATTTCCGTACAAAGGTCATACGTAGTACTAGTGTAGTACAGTACTTTGAAGCACTTTTTAAAGCACAGAGTCGTATCTAGGAATGCGGAGTACAAGTACTTCGAAGTACTACGCAGTAACTGACACTGTGATCCATTCGATGAAAGAATCCTACGTACCACACGTGTACTACCGGCAGTACCAGTATCAGAAGCAATAAATATATTTACCCGGAGCTGTGGTTACTGCTAAAAGTGGTCGAAAGTAACACGTGGTGTTCATATAGGGAATTGTATGGACAGTGGTATTTTGAGTTCGACCATATACAATTATCTGGTCCGTCAAAGTGGTCATTTTCTGATCGGTCCAATATCCGATAAATCTCGAGGTTCAGTGTGTTTGATTCGTACAATCGAAAGCTATCGATCTCCGCTTCAATTGGTCGGATTAGGGCAAATCAATTCAT